GTGTGTTTATTGGCGTGCGCGGGCCGGCGTTGTCCCAGCGCGGCGGACTGGCGGGTTTTCACGGCTCCACGGTCCAGAGGCTGAGAGGCTGGCTTTATTCCTGGGCAGAAGGGGTGAGGGAGCCGGAGGTGAGGCGTCTGGGCTGTCAGCGACCCGCGAGGACTTGAAGTAGACGCGACGGCGTCCGGAGTGGCTCCGGGCTCCCGCCCGGGTGCAGCTGCAGCGGGAGGGAAGGAACGACAGTCCGAGTGGCCCTCCTTCCTTTGTGTCTGGGTTGGAATACTCACCTCGGCGCCCCGGGACTGCGTGGGCCGTCTGCGGGGGTGACGCCTCCTCCGCAGGTCGGAGGTTCCCGGGGATCTTTAGGAGCCCCGCGGCTGCGGAGGCCCAGGTGAGACACCTGTGAGGCCCCGACCTGCCCCCGGGCTATGGCCTGAGCCCCGAATTTCCTTTTGGAAGTCCCGTTGCCTCCACTCACCCTACGTTGATTTTCCGGTCTGTCCCTTCAGGGCTTCTCTTCCCAGTGAAGACCCAGGTGCGACGGTTTGGGTAACTTTGCGCCTCGTTTTTCTCCCTGAACCCGGTTCTTCGGAGGTTCAGTAGTCGATTTTAGAGACTCAGAATTCTGGGTCAAGGAATTATTATTAATCATTCTGATACTGTACCAGGAAGTGAAATTATCTAAAGAGGAAATGGTCAACTGTTACGGTTCCTGGATGAAATTGTCCTTTATATTTCACAAGCCTGGAGAGTCCTGACTTTACACGTTGATGTGGTTACGAAAGATGAGACGCTGAGAATTTGTTCAGAATATCTAAATGTGTGCAGAGTTAAAAAACGTATAAAACTTAACGTCTTTAGTTTTAATAGGGCTAGGTAAAGTTGGAAATTAGTTTCAGGTGGTCAGAGTGTGTCAGTTGCCTTAGCTATTGGACAAAAGCTAAAAAGTTCATTTTTGTTTTGTCAAATAGAGTTTTATTACTGAAAAATTAAGGGACGTTTTATGTTTTAATATGATTTTTAAAAAATTGATTAGTTTATTATTTTTGGTTGCATTGGGCCTTTGTTGCTGTGCACAGACGTCTCATTGCGGTGGCTTCTCTTGTGGAACACGGGCTGGGTAGTTGTGGCTCACGGGCTCTAGAGCGCAGGCTCAGTAGTTGCGGCGCATGGGCTTAGTTGCTCCGCGGCATGTGGAATTCCCCCCAGACCAGGGCTCGAACCCGTGTCCCCTGCATTGACAGGGGGGTTCTTAACTACTGCACCACCAGGGAAGCCCGGAACGTTTTATGTTTAACTTGAGATCATAAAAACAGTAACATTTAAAAATGTAGCCTTGATCCTAACCATAACTTTTTCTTTTATCCATCAGTTTCATGCCAGTACTGGGCATTTTGTGAACCTTAACAAGCATAGGCAAATTCTCTACTTACTTGTGTTTGAAAGTGACACATTCGGTGGTACTTTTTATAGTCATTATTGATTATTGATTAATGAAGCTTAATGATTATTGCTCCTCTTCTGTGTGCTCAAAATTACTTGTGCTTATCTCTTGGCTCTTAGTACATCACATTATAATTATCTGTACTTTACTCTCCTACCAGATTGTGAATTCCTTTCGGGGTATGATTTAATCTCTGTAGATTCAGGGCCTGACACATAGGAGGGGCTCAAATGTTTATTGAATGAGTATATAAATAAACACATTTAGACACTCACTGTATTACATTGGATAGATCCTGTTTAAAAACTTGCAAATGTTCTTATCTGGGTTTTATACCTATTGAAAAATTTGCATCATATTTGAAATAAAGTCAGTAGGAACTTAGAGTATTATACTGTGAAGAATATTATCCTTTGTGTCCTCCTAGTCTAAGAAATGACATCAGAGGATATTTTCTGTTGCTTTGTCATAGTTAGCAGCTCAGCTGAAAAATTAGTGGAGTAAGCACATGACAAATGTGTTTACCAATGAAGACCTACCAGCTGACACCCATCTTGAGTGAGAACTAATACTCAATACCAAGAATGCTCTATTTAGTCTTAATGATGGTAAAGAAATCAAGTAGTTTATAAATATTAGGACTTTAGTATGACCATTGTTTATAAAATCTGAACTTAAAGGAAGTTTTAAAATTGTACAAATGATAATGTGTATTGAAAAAATATTAAGACAGTATAGAAAAGAAGAAAAAAGAACGGGGGAAAATTCCCCCCAAATCTTGCTACTTGGAAGTAACCCAAACATTTTGTTGAACAGACTTCTAAACATCTCTCTATGCATTTATATGAGACCAACACATATTTTGTGCTATACATGGTATCATATTTAAATTTTTTTCAATCAGTGACGTGTCATGAGCACCTTTCCATGTCAGTACATGGAGATGTCTTATTTTAAATGGCTATATAATATTCCATCTTATGTACATACTCTAATTTTTTTTTTTTTTTTTGCGGAGCCTGTGTTGCGGAGCACAGGCTCTGGATGCGCAGGCCCAGCGGCCGTGGCTCACGGGCCCAGCTGCTTCGCGGCATGTGGGATCTTCCTGGACCGGGGCACGAACCTGTGTCCCATGCATCAGCAGGCGGACTCTCAACCACTGCGCCACCAGGGAAGCCCCATACTCTAATTTTTTTAATCCATACTCCGAATGATGGGCATTTAGGTTGTTCTAATATTTTTATCTTACCTAAACACTCTCTATTAACCCTTTTTGTGGATATTTTTGCATACATATATGAGTATCTCTCTGAGGTAAATTCCTAGAAGTGGGATTTCTGGGTTAAAGAGAATGCTTACTTTAAACACATCTTACCTTATATAGCCTTCCAGAAAAGTTGCATCCACTTTGTACTCTCCTCAGGTATCTTAAAAGAATAACCACTACCTCACACCTTTGAAAGCATTAGATTTTGTTTATTTAAAAAAAATCTTTGCATGTCTGGCTGATGAAAGTCCACTGGGGAAAGCCAGGACATAGATGAAGCCCAGGGGAGGACAGAGTGACTGGCGGTGCAGACAGCCTGCTCGTTTTCTTTTCAGCGTCCTCCTTCCGTCCTCCTTTCTGTGGGCGGACATGTAGGAGAGTTTAAATCAACTCTGTTTAAATAAATAGGAAACAAAATATTTGCAAAAGAAGTCTTATTTTCTTTACATTTTTCATTACCAGTGAGGTTATACATCTTTTCATATCTTTATTGGCTTGACAAATATTTTGATGTTTGCCTGTAGCTCATGGTTGACAGAGAAGGAAAAATTTGAGGGAGGATGGATGCAAAAGCTCGAAATTGTTTGCGTCAACATAGAGAAGCCCTGGAAAGGGACATCAAAACATCCTACATCATGGATCACATGATTAGTAATGGAGGTTTAACAGTGTCGGAGGAGGAAAAAGTAAAAAATGAGGTAAAGCCCTCTGAGGCAGTCTATGTTTTCTTAAAAATTTTTAGAATTTATTTCAAAAACTTATACTGGTCTCCACTAATTTATGTTGCAAATATATTCTTTGTAGTATACTAAACTACTTTTTTTTTTTTTTAGCCCACCCAACGGCAACGAGCAGCTATGCTAATTAAAACGATACTTGAAAAAGATAATTATTCCTATATATCATTCTACAATGCTCTGCTACATGAAGGGTATAAAGATCTTGCCGACCTTCTCCATGCTGGCATTCCTGTTATCTCTTCTTCCAATGGCAAAGATTCAGTTGGAATAACTTCATATGGTTTGTATCCATGATACTTTCTATCATAAAGGCTCCGTTGCTGCAGTTTTCTCTTATTGTAGATGAGATCTGCTAGAGAGACTGATCAGTTCACTGAATCATGCATGTGAAAAAATTATCGTTTTCCAATAAAATATTTTTATTTGCATCTGTGTTACCTCTCTCATTTCCTTGCCCAGTGAACTATCTACTGCTGAGGTAATAATATACATACCATAATTTTTAGAGATAATAGGGCAATTTATAGTCCTTTATTTAAGTTCTTCAGTTTTGTGCTTATCAAGCTCAAGCACAGGAAAGAATAAGAATCTTTAGAAATCTGTGTTCTTGAAAGCAATTCCATATTCTTTCCTTTACGCTCTCTTCTCAGTTTTTAGTATGAGAAAAGGATTGGAGAGTCAGGGAGGAATAGGGTGAGTAAGGGCAGATACAGATGGAGATTTTCATTGTCTTGAGTCATCTTGAGAGGTATATGTTTGCTTTCGTTCCGGGTGTTCTGAGAAATCAAAGTTGAAGTTAATATGCTAGCAACATTTTCTTCTCTTGGAAACTCTGAGGCTGAGACCTCAGCCTTGCTCTCTTTGGTTTTTATGGTATTACTTGAGTAACCATTTCAGAGTTCTCTTCATTCATGCTTGTTTTGTTTTGGATTTCAGTAAGGACAGTCCTGTGTGAAGGTGGAGTACCACAGAGGCCCGTTGTTTTTGTTACTAGGAGAAAGCTAGTGAATGCAATTCAGCAGAAGCTCTTCAAACTGAGTGGTGAACCGGGATGGGTCACCATATATGGAATGGCAGGTTGTGGGAAGTCTGTATTAGCTGCAGAAGCTGTTCGAGATCATTCTTTCTTAGAAGGTAAGTTTTAATTAACATTGCTGGCTAAGAAGATATTGTTTAGGCATTGCATTAGTTTCCTGTTGCTGCTGTAATAAATTACCAAAACTTTT